CGATGGATTGTAGAGAGGTAGAAGATCGTTTGCTGAGGATGTCTCGCGTGACCAAGTGCGAATATGTCGAAGTAAATCGCGAAGCTGTGCATGAAGAGGCAATCAGCTGATCGATCTTTAGTACGTGTTCGGTAACTGCGATATCATCGATTTATAGATAAAATGTATGGATATCATTTTTTTTAGAATAATGATTACATAAATTATTAAACAGATCAGCGTTTTATCTCTCGAAAAATAGGAAAGATAAGATGGGAATAAAAAATGTAAGATGTACGCAAGAAACTGTTATTTTTAACGAAGAAGAGTTTAAAGGAATGATTGATCTGTTGAATCCTGCGCAGTTCATCGTTGGGAAACGATCGATCACGTCACCTCAGCTAAACGAGAATTAAATAAAAGTGGGAAGGTCTTTATGTATGAAGAGAAGAAGAGAATAATGAGGAAAGAAAATAAAAAAGAAAGAAAGTCGTTGTAATATATGGGAAAGTATTAATAATCTTTTGCATCGTATTTTGTATGCAATTGATGTTTAGCGATCAAACTATCGCCAATTTCTTTAACAAGAATCTTTGAAAAAATTTCTGAAAAAAACGAAAAGAGTTTTACGAATGAGATGAGAGGTTAAACAAGATCTATCAAATTAAAAAATTATCAAATTATGAAGAAAGAAGGTGTAAATATAATAATTATTTTGCGTTGTCTAAAAGATAATCGATATGCTTGAATATGATAATTGATAGTAAGATAAAGTGTATTTAAGAAAATTAAGTTATTGGCTGATCATTCCCAGTACTTTATATAGAAAAGGATTTTAAAGAGAAGCTAATCTTATTGATTGAGTGTAAATTAATTGGTTCTGTTCTTGCTACTTCCTGGACATGTGATAGATATGATATTTACTCGGCTTATCGTTATCAGGCACGTTTACTGAATATTTAATTAAAATGCTAAACATGTGGACGTAATAATTTAAATATAAAAGAAACAGTAACCCCCTTTATATATGAGTTATGTAAATATAATTGTCTTAAAGAAACATTGCACTTAATAAATAAATAATTTAAAATAATATTAAAATATATAGAAATAAATTATTCATCAAAAAATACATCGACATATTTCTTTCAAAATTACTTTTCTGTGATGAAAAAATTAATTAAAATTTAACTAGAGGATAATTCTCTATATTATCTCCAATCTATTTTTATATAGAAAAGTATATTACGATTCAAGATGCAATATTTTTATCTATTAAATAATAGGACGAAAGATATGCAGTATCCTGTTGTCGGAGATCAAAATATATCTCCGAAAGTCCTTCACGCAAAAATCTTGAGCCAGCTAAGTCGGCCATAACTGAGGTATAATAAGAAGTAAATCCTCTTCGTCGTGATAATCACGGGAGCAAGAAGATCCCGTAGGAATCTCGGAGCTTCTTACGGGGTTAATATGTGCCTGGGACGAGTGGGAGGTCAGGGCAGAGGGACTTACGGTGGCAAGTGCGGCAAGGAAGACGCCATCGGGTTCCGAGATTTCTCCGACCGACCTGGAAGAGGAGGCTCTCCCGTGAAAATGGGTATGCTGCTGCCCGACGAAACTTACGAGGCGAGATCCTCCAACGCCCTGATCGCGGACGTGGACGAAATTGAGGCTGCCAAGGCGCTGGCGGCGCTCCGCAGGTGCGACGAGTTCCTGAAGAGGCACGGCATCCGGCCCGAGTTCTTCTGCAGGCATCGAGAACGTCTCGCTCTTCAAGCCTGGCTGCTGAAAAGGTCCCAGCTCTACTCAGGTAAGTATTCAAGAGAAGATTTTCTTTACATATATGTATATATGCATAGAGAGATATAGAAGGAGAGAAGCTTAAGCTTCTCTACATAAAGATTAAATAAGAAATGATTTTCCATATCTGGTCTGTGATACGGTGGAGAAAGTTTGACCATTATATATGGTTCTACAATAAAAAATATATTTTTTTATTCAATTGTTTGAATAAAAATTTGTTTTTAATCGAATTTGCATAAGGAAATCGAGCTCAATGTAAAACGCACGTAGGTGAAAGGTTGGTCGCCTTCTCGAGTTTGCTTGATGTAGGAAAAGGTCTGTAAATATCGAGAAAAGCTTTACCTATGCTCAGATCCCTTGATAATAGTTCGGAAAATTTTAGATACTCTTTATAAGGGTGAGAAACGAATAAGAAGAGTACTTTGTGCTTTTGCTGAGTATTATTTAGCAGACTAAAATATTATATCCTAAAATGTTTACTTATAACACATTTACAATTTTTTTACATATATATTTATAATTATATGATTTGTTTATTACGCACTTCGAAGTACTTTGCACGCGATTATTAAGACCGCCACGCGCCGAGCTCAACAACAACTGCATTATCTTGGCAAGTTGCGAAACGGAGCTCTCAACTCGCGCCACTGTTTTCGCAGATTGTTCCGTCTATTTCGTCTATTTACACACGCGGGATAACTCTCGCCACCGTAGTCGCCTCTCTTTCTCTCGGGGCGCAACTTTCCTCATGCAACTTGCTCCATTTCTCCCCTACAAATCGCATTGCGGAGCGTCTCGGGCATTACGTATACATAGTACATACATACATACAAGAATACGAGCCCCACGCTCGCTGCTATTCCTTGCACTCGCGTTCCAATAAAGGATGCAACCGCGAGCATCCGCGGTCGAAGGATGAAGGATGACGTACAGGATTCTTCAAAAGTCCTCGCTGTCCCTTATATTTCAATTATATATTATGGAAGTATTTTATAATGTCATTTTAGATACATATTGGCGCAAAAATTAGATTTTGTTCCGAAAAAAATTAGATCCATCAATTAAATTCTGAGAAAAATTATTCAACATCTAAGAAATCAATTTATATGAAATTTGTTGGTTTTCTTCAAACGTCCACAAATTAATCGCTAATGGCGCATCATGTAAAAATTAAAAGGCGCAATTTATATATTGATTAATATTAATTAATACTTGAAAAACTTTCCGTGAAGAAGCCCTTTGATTCTTTATAATATCTTTTAATGTCATCCATTAAGAAGATAAATGAGCAGTATTAATTACACAGTTTAGGACACTTATAATTAGATTTCTCCAGGCCGGTAAATAGCTTCTCTCTTTTCCTCTGTCTCTAGAAAGTAAAAATGTTAAAAATGAGAAAGAAGATAAAAAATGCGTCCGATATATTTTACATTGTACGGCACTGTACATAGTGGCAAGAGAGAACTATACCGGACGTTAGTATCTACTTCAGCTATCATCGCTGGGTGAGTCTCGACAGACTCGGCGAGAATCCACAGAGAGACGATGCTAGAGTGATCTAAGAGCGATCGCTGAATAAGTTCTTCTCATACGATCGAAATGCATTCCGGATGCATGGCATATGCGGCGAGTCAGCCGGCACGGCTGATCCAGATGCAACGAGGTATGCGAGGTCCAGAACTGGCAGATACGCAATTCGCGATCGTAATAAATCAACGCGCAACCTAATTAACTGACGGACCTTATAATAGGGTTCATTATCGCCAAGTCGTTGCTAATTATGTGAATATACCACCGAGTCTGTCTTCGCGCTAAGAGCAGATCTAATCTGGATTTATCATCGGACAACAATTTCAAAGTCTGTTATAATACAAAGCAGATTATTTTCTGAGTATTTTGAGATACAAACTTTTGTGTAGGAAAACTTGTAAATAAATTCATTAGCGAGTCTCGTCAGCATCGAAAGTAGAAACGTAATTTAAGGGCGTTTCGAAATTTATAAATAAATCACGACTGTCGCGATAGAACTAGACTATATTATCGTTTTATATATCTATATAAGAACAGAAGCACATACGGCGGGAATTAGCGTTTAATCGCTAAATGCATGACCGACGTATGTAAGTCATTGGATATCGGTTTTCAATGTGCTTTATAGTCCTTTAATACATACTGTAATCGGTGGTATTATATAATCGTATGCTATCTAAAATCTAATTCTAACGTGTCAATTTAGAATATCTAACATTTCATGATTATGCTACTGAGAATTAAACCAATTGCCAATTTAATTCACAGTTACATACACATACTATACACACAACATAATTCTTTGAATTTATATATATGTATATATAATTAAAGTAGTTGTTAAATACATGGATTATATAATTTATAACTATCAAATTAAAAAATTATCAAATTATGAAGAAAGAAGGTGTAAATATAATAATTATTTTGCGTTGTCTAAAAGATAATCGATATGCTTGAATATGATAATTGATAGTAAGATAAAGTGTATTTAAGAAAATTAAGTTATTGGCTGATCATTCCCAGTACTTTATATAGAAAAGGATTTTAAAGAGAAGCTAATCTTATTGATTGAGTGTAAATTAATTGGTTCTGTTCTTGCTACTTCCTGGACATGTGATAGATATGATATTTACTCGGCTTATCGTTATCAGGCACGTTTACTGAATATTTAATTAAAGTGCTAAACATGTGGACGTAATAATTTAAATATAAAAGAAACAGTAACCCCCTTTATATATGAGTTATGTAAATATAATTGTCTTAAAGAAACATTGCACTTAATAAATAAATAATTTAAAATAATATTAAAATATATAGAAATAAATTATTCATCAAAAAATACATCGACATATTTCTTTCAAAATTACTTTTCTGTGATGAAAAAATTAATTAAAATTTAACTAGAGGATAATTCTCTATATTATCTCCAATCTATTTTTATATAGAAAAGTATATTACGATTCAAGATGCAATATTTTTATCTATTAAATAATAGGACGAAAGATATGCAGTATCCTGTTGTCGGAGATCAAAATATATCTCCGAAAGTCCTTCACGCAAAAATCTTGAGCCAGCTAAGTCGGCCATAACTGAGGTATAATAAGAAGTAAATCCTCTTCGTCGTGATAATCACGGGAGCAAGAAGATCCCGTAGGAATCTCGGAGCTTCTTACGGGGTTAATATGTGCCTGGGACGAGTGGGAGGTCAGGGCAGAGGGACTTACGGTGGCAAGTGCGGCAAGGAAGACGCCATCGGGTTCCGAGATTTCTCCGACCGACCTGGAAGAGGAGGCTCTCCCGTGAAAATGGGTATGCTGCTGCCCGACGAAACTTACGAGGCGAGATCCTCCAACGCCCTGATCGCGGACGTGGACGAAATTGAGGCTGCCAAGGCGCTGGCGGCGCTCCGCAGGTGCGACGAGTTCCTGAAGAGGCACGGCATCCGGCCCGAGTTCTTCTGCAGGCATCGAGAACGTCTCGCTCTTCAAGCCTGGCTGCTGAAAAGGTCCCAGCTCTACTCAGGTAAGTATTCAAGAGAAGATTTTCTTTACATATATGTATATATGCATAGAGAGATATAGAAGGAGAGAAGCTTAAGCTTCTCTACATAAAGATTAAATAAGAAATGATTTTCCATATCTGGTCTGTGATACGGTGGAGAAAGTTTGACCATTATATATGGTTCTACAATAAAAAATATATTTTTTTATTCAATTGTTTGAATAAAAATTTGTTTTTAATCGAATTTGCATAAGGAAATCGAGCTCAATGTAAAACGCACGTAGGTGAAAGGTTGGTCGCCTTCTCGAGTTTGCTTGATGTAGGAAAAGGTCTGTAAATATCGAGAAAAGCTTTACCTATGCTCAGATCCCTTGATAATAGTTCGGAAAATTTTAGATACTCTTTATAAGGGTGAGAAACGAATAAGAAGAGTACTTTGTGCTTTTGCTGAGTATTATTTAGCAGACTAAAATATTATATCCTAAAATGTTTACTTATAACACATTTACAATTTTTTTACATATATATTTATAATTATATGATTTGTTTATTACGCACTTCGAAGTACTTTGCACGCGATTATTAAGACCGCCACGCGCCGAGCTCAACAACAACTGCATTATCTTGGCAAGTTGCGAAACGGAGCTCTCAACTCGCGCCACTGTTTTCGCAGATTGTTCCGTCTATTTCGTCTATTTACACACGCGGGATAACTCTCGCCACCGTAGTCGCCTCTCTTTCTCTCGGGGCGCAACTTTCCTCATGCAACTTGCTCCATTTCTCCCCTACAAATCGCATTGCGGAGCGTCTCGGGCATTACGTATACATAGTACATACATACATACAAGAATACGAGCCCCACGCTCGCTGCTATTCCTTGCACTCGCGTTCCAATAAAGGATGCAACCGCGAGCATCCGCGGTCGAAGGATGAAGGATGACGTACAGGATTCTTCAAAAGTCCTCGCTGTCCCTTATATTTCAATTATATATTATGGAAGTATTTTATAATGTCATTTTAGATACATATTGGCGCAAAAATTAGATTTTGTTCCGAAAAAAATTAGATCCATCAATTAAATTCTGAGAAAAATTATTCAACATCTAAGAAATCAATTTATATGAAATTTGTTGGTTTTCTTCAAACGTCCACAAATTAATCGCTAATGGCGCATCATGTAAAAATTAAAAGGCGCAATTTATATATTGATTAATATTAATTAATACTTGAAAAACTTTCCGTGAAGAAGCCCTTTGATTCTTTATAATATCTTTTAATGTCATCCATTAAGAAGATAAATGAGCAGTATTAATTACACAGTTTAGGACACTTATAATTAGATTTCTCCAGGCCGGTAAATAGCTTCTCTCTTTTCCTCTGTCTCTAGAAAGTAAAAATGTTAAAAATGAGAAAGAAGATAAAAAATGCGTCCGATATATTTTACATTGTACGGCACTGTACATAGTGGCAAGAGAGAACTATACCGGACGTTAGTATCTACTTCAGCTATCATCGCTGGGTGAGTCTCGACAGACTCGGCGAGAATCCACAGAGAGACGATGCTAGAGTGATCTAAGAGCGATCGCTGAATAAGTTCTTCTCATACGATCGAAATGCATTCCGGATGCATGGCATATGCGGCGAGTCAGCCGGCACGGCTGATCCAGATGCAACGAGGTATGCGAGGTCCAGAACTGGCAGATACGCAATTCGCGATCGTAATAAATCAACGCGCAACCTAATTAACTGACGGACCTTATAATAGGGTTCATTATCGCCAAGTCGTTGCTAATTATGTGAATATACCACCGAGTCTGTCTTCGCGCTAAGAGCAGATCTAATCTGGATTTATCATCGGACAACAATTTCAAAGTCTGTTATAATACAAAGCAGATTATTTTCTGAGTATTTTGAGATACAAACTTTTGTGTAGGAAAACTTGTAAATAAATTCATTAGCGAGTCTCGTCAGCATCGAAAGTAGAAACGTAATTTAAGGGCGTTTCGAAATTTATAAATAAATCACGACTGTCGCGATAGAACTAGACTATATTATCGTTTTATATATCTATATAAGAACAGAAGCACATACGGCGGGAATTAGCGTTTAATCGCTAAATGCATGACCGACGTATGTAAATCATTGGATATCGGTTTTCAATGTGCTTTATAGTCCTTTAATACATACTGTAATCGGTGGTATTATATAATCGTATGCTATCTAAAATCTAATTCTAACGTGTCAATTTAGAATATCTTACATTTTATGATTATGCTACTGAGAATTAAACCAATTGCCAATTTAATTCACACTTACATACACATATTATACACACAACATAATTCTTTGAATTAATATATATGTATATATAATTAAAGTAATTGTTAAATACATGGATTATATAATTTATGAATATAAAAACTTTTATATAATATTTTTAATTTATATAATATTTGAATGACGTTTATATATTTTAATAAATTAACACGATGAAATTAACTTTCCGCTAAATTTTGAAACTTTGGTTTATTTTTTTGTTTTATCTCAGAGTTTAGTGCCGCGAGCTGACGATCGTAAAGTTTGCTCGTTATATTTTACGAACAGAGGAATAAAAGACTTTTTACGCATTGCTTTTATTATTTAAGAGGAATTCTTTGTTTCCGGTGACGATTTACCACTATTTACTATCGCAAAGAGAGAAGCAGAAAAAGCTGGTAATAACATCACAATTAATTTATAATCATGAGTTTTTTTATAGTTTTTATTAAATTGCTGAAGAAATGAGTAATTAATTGATCTGAGTTATCATATAAAGCGAATATATATATAATGTATATATCATATAATCGAATAATGCATAATAAAGAAGGCATAATAAGAATTAAAAAATAAATTCATACATATATAACATAATAAAATTTCAAATTTATATTAATTGTATAATTTTCTTTTCTTTTTTTTTTTATTAAATGGATCTTTCATATTTTTTACATAACAGATTTTTTAGATACATGAATATCTTAGCTCATTTTTAAAATTTAAGATTATTTTGTCAAAACATACCAATGCGATTTCGAAACACATGTGCAACTAAATAGCATTAGGAACAATTTTGACCTAATTACTCCGATTTTCCATTTAATCTACGAGTGGATGGAGAGCAGGGAGAGAGAGGGGAAAAGGGGATGGAAATTTTATCGGGATTTATTAGCCGCGGGGAATCGACTGGGGGTTCGTAATGACCGAGGCATTACTAATGGGGCGAGGTGGAGGAAGGAGGCAAAAAAGGGCGGAACTGCCTGCCAACGTAACAACGCCGCTGATGCAAAAGCGAACAAAATGCCGTCAGGTGTTGCCCCCATAAATCACTGCGTACGTACGTACGTACCACCTTCCTTTCGGTCTTCGTCGCGCCGCTCCGATGCATTCGATAAATAAAACATGCGGCGCGAAAAGGTCCGCAAAGTGTATCGATTGGTTCTACCAGATAAACGTTGTATAATGCCGCGTATTATTTCTATTTCGAGGGAGGGATACGTTTTCCTCTCAGAAGCTTTTACTTTCTTAAAGAATCGGCCATTACATTCTCAACAGCTGTACTCTCAACTTCTGGGATATACAAGACGCGCATTTCTCACATTTATCTCTTTCTCTTTTCAAATAATAACGTCGTAGCGTTAAGAAAAAGCTTCTGCTTTAGGAATAATTTAAAGGTTTTTCCAAAACATATGTCGATGAAAGTTATATAATTCTCGTTATTTAATGTATCGTATATTATTTTCATTAGAAAAAATATTTTTGTTCTCGATGCCATAATTTAAATTATTTTTTTATTTTTTATTTCTACGAATTTTTCACGCAAAATTTCACGTTCTCAGCCACCGCTTAGAGCACGAGGACGTCCTAATCAATCGCAGTGATCGCGTGAGACACGAGAATAACGTAGAACTTTGGCACCGCATTAATTACTGGTCGCTAACAATGGCACAATAATTAACAATTATACGGTTTGATAATTATATACTGTTGGACTGAGTTATCACGTATCATTACCCGTCTGTGTGAATAAGTGTACGTGATTTTGCGACGATACCTGTCATCGTACATAATATAAAAGATGAGACCTAGAAGATTATAAGTTAACTAGAGAAATATATCAGTTTTATATAGAGTAAAAAAAAAATTATATAAATAAAAAAATTTTTTTAAAGACAGAAATAAAAATAGAAAATAAATTATTATAAAATCTAATAAATTTTTAGTGCAACGGATTTGTTATCACATTCGAAGGGTTGTATATTATAGTAGCACGTTCTCGTATTATATCACTGAGAGGTTCAAATATAGTAAAATGCATGAATCTATCGATCACTGATGGCAGGCATTCAGGTGTTCTGAGTCTAGTATCTTAAATCCGCCAATTTAACTTTGTCTATGAAACCGGCGTGCCTTCTTCTTGCTAGAGGCATAGCAAGCTCTGCAAAAAGGACGCCGGGCCCTGATGCAAATTTATGTTAACAGCGTCAGTGAGTGTCTCTCTCATAGTATTTATAACACTGTGGCGAGAAGAAAACGCTGCCTCGATTAGATTTAACGCGAGCACGCACTTTTATACGCAATGTGTGCGTGTATGCGTTATAATAATTATTATATTTAAATAAAGTTACGTCTCTCTTGTAATTGTATGTAAATGGTTTTAAAAACTTTTATTTTTTTATTCATCCAATTTGAATATTACTTTACAACCAAACTCGTATGTATAACACGCACACATAAAACGCACACGTGCATATGTATATATATGAAGGCGAGAAAATCATTATCGAAGTGAGTCAGAAGAACGAGCTCGGATGCGCGAGAGCTTCTTGCAGGTGCGCGACGTCCTGTGTATCGCCTTACCCTCGTCGTCGCCACTCGGTTTAATTAAATTCTCGGAGAAACGGTGGCTCTCTTCGCCCCCTTTCCTCACCTTCTCCTCGCGGATGAAACTTTTTTTTTGCACGCTCGCGTCGACGCGAAGA